TCACGGGAGGGTTTTGCATAGCTCCAGCCAGGGTTTTTCTGCAGTGGGGGAAGCCCAGGGCTCAGGTGGAGAAGAAATCACACTGCTGCAGCTACCTTGGCTGCAGAGCTGCTCAAAAAGGGGGGGGGGTGGTGTCTTCCTGGGGAAAGAGGTTTTCTCCCTTGAGGTAGAAAATAACATCCCACACTAACGACGGCTGGGGACAGACCAGTGCAAAGGGGCATCAGGGGGGCGAGGGGTGCCTGGCCCTCCTCACGGTGCCCCCTTGCTCACCTGGCCACACAGACGACGGACAGAAGACAACAGAGAGGCCAGGCAGTGCAGGGACAGCAAGCGTCCCCTGCCATCCGCTTTATTGACCCCCACCCTCTCCTCCGTGGGGCAGCCAGCTGGGGGAGACGCACCCCCCCAGGCTGGGGAGAGGAAAACCGACAGTGGAACGACGCACAGCAGGACGGGTCCCCCTCCTGCACAACCGTCCCCTGGGACAGAGGGCACGGTGATCCCCCCCCGGAAAACCAGGAGGGGAATGCAACAAAATGGGCTAGGAGGCCCCAGTCCCCCAGGGAGCAACAGTGTGGGTCTGGGGACAGCCTGGGCAGCAAGGGGTGCTGCCCCTCACTCCACTCTCCAACCCTGGGGGGGTCTCACAGGACAAGGGCATGAGTGCCTCCCAACAGGGAGAGCATCCCCAGGGCTGCCCCCGAAGCTGTGGGGACCTCCTCGGCACAGGTGGCTCTGAGAGGCCCCTAAAAAGTCCCCTGGGGGCTGGCAGGGACCCCAAGATGCCATGCACACACCCCGCCCACCTGCCACACTCCCCTCCCCACACCAAACCCCCCCGGCCCCAGCCCAAAACCGCTGTGCCAACCCACGCCAGCCAGCTGCACCACCACCCCCCATCCCCCAAGGCCTCCCCAGGGACCTCTGGGGATGGTGCTGGGACCCAGCAAGAAGGGGAACGGTTCCCACCCACACCTGCACCTGGCCCCACGGGGACCCTCAGGCGACAGCCCCACTGTGGTGGGCTGACCCCCTTTGGGGCAGGGCACCCCTGCAGTAGGAGAGTGGTGTTGCCCCCGCCCCCAATACCACCAGGCTCAGCCCCCCCACCTGGCCACAGCATCGCATTCTCCCAGCTCACCACCACCTCTTATGTACACTCATCTGACAAAACCCCAAAATACGAGGTATATAAAAATTCAATGCGGGGACACCCCCATACGAACAGTTCCAGGAAGCCACTACAGGGGGGTGGGAGACAGGCCAGGACACATGTGCCTCGCCCCCCTTGCCCCCACCCACCGGCGCCTCCCTGGCATGGGTAGTCCCCCGTCCCCCCCGGTGGGCAGCCTTCAGGGCACAGCTCAGACACAGCCAAGAGGAAAAGGGAGCACAGGGCTGGGGGGGGGCTGGCTGAGGCAGACCATGCCCCCCCCAACCTCTGTGGACACAGAAGGCCAGTGGGGAGGTACTGGACAGGACAAATGAACAAACAGACGGCTGAGGGACAAGGCGGAGTGAGGGGGACTCCCATGGTCCCCGCTCCCACCCCAGGCCAGGTTCCAGCCCCAGGTGGGCATCAGGGGCATCAGGCCAGGCTGAGATCATCTGATGGATGGGGAGGGAGGGGAGCCTGGCACCCCTAAGCCCTTGGCACAGCGGCCAGAGGGGACAGCCAGGCCAGCCTGAAGCCCCGCAGCTCTGTGGGGGGAGGCTCCCTCCCCGCAGGAGTGAAGGGGATGGCCAAAAGGACCTTCTCCCACATTCCTAGCCAGCCTGGGGATGCTCCCACCGTGCGGGTGCCATCGGGAGCGAAGGGCTCGAGGTACCCCCTGCAAAGCCCCCAGGTGGGTTTTTCCAGCAGCTTTATCCTGGGGGAAAGGGATCAAAAGAGGGGAGGGGGGGACACAGCACCAGCACCCTTTCCCTTGCCTCCCTGCCGTGGTCTCAGTCCTTCTCCTGCACCAGGCTCTCCTCTGTGATGCCCTGGGCTGCAAGCTCGGCTAGGACATTGTCCAGGTAGTTGATGTCAGGGTAGCCATGCCCAGTGAGGTTGGAGCCAAACTCTGTCTTGTGGTGGATCTCATTCCAGATCACCGTGTCCGACTCGCCCGTGGTGCTGGAGGTCCCGATGGCGAAGATCAAGCGCCGGTCCCAGGCTACCAGCAGCAACCTCAGTACCTGTGGAAGGGAGAGACGGGGCAGGCAGCAAGGCAAATGCAGTGTGTGGGGGGGGAAAGCACCCACTTCTGCTCAAGGCACACCTGATCATCCTGGTACACCCCAGCAATGTGGACAACCCACAGCCAAGCCCTCCCAGGGAGTTCGGGATCCCAGCATAGGGTCCTACCCCAACCAAAATAGCAGGACAAGGCTGCAGAGCTCCCCCAGCAGGTAGGAATTTCGCTGGGCTCTTGCAGAGTATGCCAGATGGGCTAGGGGGAACACCTCCACCCGTGTTTGCCTGCATAAGCCTTATTCGCTTCTCCCTGTGCTCCAAATAGCTGCTCGCTCCTTCTCCCCCTCAACATGCCCTTGAGCATGCCTTGGCCAGCTCGAGCCACCCGGGTGAGCCCCTCACCTTTCTGCCCTTCTCGCTGTCTGGCAGGTAGCAGTGCCGGGGAAAGCCGCGGGCCGTGAAACTCTTCCCAGGGTTTGGATGCTCTGGTCCCTGCAGCATGTGGAGGAAGGAACAAAACCCTTTTGGAGCTCAGAAGGATGCTCTGGGCACAAGGTAACCCCCCCCAACCTCAGTGGACGCAGAGCTGCTCGCTGCTGCGCTGGGCAGCCATGCTCCAGCATGATGGTCCTGAACGCCACCATCCCCCTGCCACCAAGCAGATGGGGCCAACACTTTCATGCAGATGTACCCCCGACTTCCCACCAGCATCCTTACGGACATGCAACTCCTGAGACGTCACTGAAACCAGAGCCCTGAGTCAAGGCATGAGCTGCAACATGACCCATGAGCAACACAGCCGGTGACAAGGGCCACCAGCCCCCACAGGGGACCACCCATGTGCACCCCTGGGCATAGGGTTGGGCCACACCTGCACCCCTGGGGGGATGTTGTAGATGATGCGGATGGTTTTGCAGTCAGAGTGGCCAGGCAGGGCGTGAGGGATGACGTGATACTCCATCTTCCCTGGGGGCTGTGTCCCCGTCTTCACCCCATAGATGGTTTTGCAGGTGGGGCACTGCAGGCTCCCATCCTGAGAGCAAGGAAAGAGGGGAACACAATGAAACCAGCATCCGCCAACAGCGAGCCAGGCTGGGCACTCCGTCCCCCGGCAGCACTGAGCACTGCCTTCATCCTGAACACAGCCATTTCACAAACACTCAGGAAGCAGGGGGGAGGGCTGGGAGAACTTGCTACAGCGACCCAACTTTAACCAAGAACCTGAGGTCTGCACTTCTCTTCCTCATCAGATTTACAGCTTTCCCCACCTTTGTTTTGGTTGGGTTTTGGTGGGTTGGTTTTGTTTTGTTTTTTTTCCAAAGAGGGAAAGATAATAAATATTAAACACTCCCAAGCAACGTGAAACGCATTTTCCTGGGAATGTCAAGCACAAGAGCCACTTGCAGGGGCCTCAAGAAAGCCCACCAGTGGCTGGAAAAGCACTGCCTGGCGCCAGATACCAGGTAGCTCTGCTCAAACATGCAGGGATCAACATTCACTGCCACTAACCTTGGGAAGGAAAGCAAGGGCGTAAAACTGGGCGTAGTAGGAAAAAAACCACCCACACAGCCCAACCTTATGTTTCTGATTTAGCGGTCCCAAAGCGCTTGCTGCTGATAAAAGTTAAACTCTCTGTCAGGACAGGGAGGTCAGAGCCCTCCGGGGCAGCAGGACTCGAGCACCGTCCCACCGAGGGCAGGAGGAGCTCAGCACAGGTCGCTGAGCCGGGGGTTTGGGCATTGCACCGAGGGGCAGGAGGAGCTCAGCACAGGTCACTGAGCCAGGGGTTTGGGCGTCCCACCAAGGGGCAGGAGGAGCTCAGCACAGGTCGCTGAGCCAGGGGTTTGGGCATCCCCTGGGGCTGCAGCCTTGCACCTTGTTGCCGTTGTTGTACATGGCGACCAGGCAGTGGAGGTGGAAGACGTGGCCGCATTTCACCAGCTTCCCCACCAGGTCAGGCTTGATGGCCGGCTGGGGTCCCTTGTAGCCGGAGGGCGCAGAGAGGCGCTCCATGCAGATGGTGCAGTCCTGCGTGGACAGGAAGGAGAAGGGTCAGACAGATGGATGCAGCCAGAGCCTCGCTGAGGACACGGGGCTGATGAGCTGCCCTGCTTTTGCCCAGGGACCAGCACCCAGCCCAGGCACTGTGCCATCACCCTGGGCCACCACAGGGGCCAGCCAACATCTGCATGTGGCACACAGCCACTCTTTGGAGGGGGACAGGGACAGGGCAGAGCCATGAGGGGTGGTGGGGAGATCCCTGCACAGTGTGGGGGCATCACCCATGTCCTCAGTCACTTCTCCCAGAGCAAAGTACCCTGGGGACACCCCAGCGTGACCCCCACCGTTCACACCTCATCCAGTGGATGCCGCACCTTCTGCAGGTATTTTTTCAGTACCTCCTCTGGGGTTTTACCTGTGGGAGAGGAAGAGTCAGAGGGGCTGGAGGGCAGCACGGGGGAAACCCACTGCTGGGGGCAGCAGGAGGAGACGGGGGGGACAGGGGAACCAGGTCGGGAAGCTGGGGGGACAGGAACAGGGGCCAAGTGGCAAAGTGCCTCTCACCCTTCTTGGCCTGCTTCTTGGTGGTCTTGCGGCAGGTGTGGGAGATGCCAGGGATGGACTGGATCTCGCTTTTGCTCACGGGTGGAGGGTGCAGCACCAGCTTGGGGGGCCGCGTCAGGCAGACAGGCAGCCCAGCCG